AATGGCAAAGTCGAAATTGTCTAAATTCAATTTGCCTAAATGCCTAAATGTCTAAATAATTTCGACTAACAACATTACTTGGGAGCTTAACTTATAGAAGATTTGCTAACACCTAAGTATTTTATTTGAAAAGAATAGGTGCGAGTGGTCATGTGTTTTAAAGAATGCTAGCTGGCCAAAGGTGCCAAAAATAAATTCAATTAAAGGACTTTAAGTCTGCAGAATACATTGTGAGTAATTCTTTTATTTCCAGCACCTTTGGCCAGCTAGCATTCTTCCAAACACATAACTACTCGCATCTGTGCTTTTCAAATATTTTTGCTTGGTAAACAGTTAGTAGGAATAGGTAAATGGCCATAAACTATTTTATGATCAATCTGATAAATAATCGTGAACTAGTTCACAGTCATATTTGATTAATTTGAATTTGATTTGACCTGCTTCTTACTCATTCTACCATTATGATGATACCAGCACAATCTCACTTGCTAATTTTTCTGTGAGCATATCATCATTTTAGTTCAAATTACTTAGCTTAAATTACTCACAATGTATTCTGCAGACTTAAAGTCCTTTAATTGAATTTATTTCTGGCACCTTTGGCCAGCTGGCATTCTTCAAAACACTTCACTCACTCACATCTTGCTTTTTAAATATTTTTGCTTGATAAACAGTTAGTAGGGATGGGTAAATAACCATAAACTATTTCATGATCAATCTAATAAATGATCATGAACTAGTTCACAGTTATATTTGATCAACTTGAATTTGATTTCAAACTAAACTTTAATTTGCTTTTGCAAAGCACTAATTTAGAACAATAACAGATATTATTTGAATACTTTCTAACTCCTTAATTATACAATTGAAATAAACAATATGTAGAAATGGCACTTCTCATATTTGGATTTTGTCTAGAACAAACTCAAAGTTGGTCTTAAATAGGAATATTAAGTGGTGTGTCTAGTCTAATCCTAGTTCGGTCTCTAAAAATTCGAGTCCAAGACTAATTAAAAACTAGTTCATAACCCCAGTATGAATTCTAATATAAAACAATAGTAAATGAGTATGTATGTATGTACGTATGTATTGTGTTTAGGGATGGGCAATTATATTATACTATATAATAAAAATAGTATAATAACCATATAATTGGTATAATATAATTTAATAAAATGCTGTATAATTGGTATAATATTTTAGTGTAACAAAATTGGCCAATAGAAATTTAGATGAAATTTTTCATAGAAATGAGCAAGCACGTGACAAACCCTTATATACTTTTTAGATATTTATTATACAGTTATTATGGTATAATAACAAGGTTATTATACTACAATTTTAATTATACCATATAATTCCTATCCCTAATTGTGTTTTATATGGATTCATTCAATATTATATGTAATCATATTTGGATTAATCTTGAAATCACAAAATTATAGAACAAGTTTCAAACTAGTTCTGAATTGTTCTTAAAAAGTCCATTCCTAGACTCGGTTCGAACTAGCTCATTATGAACTATTTAATATTCCTAGTTTCAAATAACTAAGTAAAATCAACTCAAGTTTTTTAAGCAAAAATAGTTATTCAATTTTTTGCTCTTACAAATTAGTATAATCAGTAAATCATATAAATTCTGTATATTATGCATATTACTATTGTTTCACAATAGTAATATGCAGGGTTCACAAATTACAGTGCTTTTCAAATTACTGTGATCAGCAAAATTCATGCATTACACATCACAAGAAATCTGGGAATCAGGATTTTAGTAAAATGCAAGCCTGTGATTGGCTGAAAATTATATATTGCGTATATTATGTATAAAATTCTAATATTAAATATTTTTAAAAGTTTGATTGAAGATTTCTCAACAATAGCTTAATTTCAATATTTAAGGCTATTTTCGAATCCTACAAGCCTTCAGAATTTGAAAATAGCTTTGAATATCGAAAATGACCAGCTATTATCAAGATAGATTCACTTGAAGTTTGAGAAAATTTAGTAAAGAAAACCAAAAAATTTTAGTATTCTTTGATCTGACCACTTCAAGATATAGTACACTAATGGATAATATACAAGAGAATCAGAATTTGACAAGGAATTTTTGGAATTCTAACTTTTTAGATAGAAATTTTTTAAAAAATAATGAATTTAATGGAATTTTACAGATTTTCGTGTGATAGATGATAATCTGCTGATCACAGTAATTTGAAAAATATGATAAATAGTTGCATATACATACTAGTTCAAAGAGAACTATAACATTAAATAAATATCATGATATGTAAACAATATGTATAATGGTAAGAGTATCGAATTCTTGTACGTAACTATTGTATGTATATTATGCGAATATAAGACTATTTTTTAATTATGTTATTATTAATGATATTCTTATTGTGACGAATTTATCAAATATCCCAAAATTTGAAAATTTTGGCTACTAATAAAATAATTATTATTTCAGAATGAGAATATGTTAACATGTAGGAAAGATAGATTAGATGCATTATTAATTAAGATCTGAGGTTTTCCGTATATTCAGATTTTAACAGTATTTAGCTTCTGTATACAATTGATACACCAAAGTACTGTAAAAGTCAAAAGTTTAAAACCAACCAAAAAATTGTATTCTATTGTTGTAATTTTTTTTGCACTATTATTTTTAGTATTATAATTACCTTCTCATGATTATATATTTTAGTGATATTATCAAGCTTTTTAATATACATATATTATATTATCACAAAATAATGCTATATGTATTATTTTAAATATATGTGCGATATTTGAAATACACGCATAGGATCATTATTTTAAGACAAGAATAATTTTTCTGTGTCTAAATTTTCAAATTATTATGTATTTACATCCACTTGGATTAAGTATTGTTTCAAAACACGTATGAGCATTATGTTGAAATCATTTATACTATCCTCATATGATATGATTGTTTAAATAATGCCTATATTTGTTATTTTGCAACAATATAGTATATCGATGCTAGAGTATCTAGCCTATATAATTTTAGAAATTTTCTATTGTTCAAACTGTTCAAACAATGAACAATTCTGAAATCAATAAATTTGAATACTCTAATTGATACGATTTATATATATATATATTGTAGGTGGGAATAGAATCATAATAAAATTCGAAATCTACTTAGATTAAAACAGAATAATTATACTAAAAATCACAACTTTAATCTTAAAAGTTTTAAATCAATTTTTAAATTCTGTTTCCGTTTATGATATATATACTATATTTTTAATTAAAAAACTTTATATTAGCATTAAAAATATGACCGATCAGACATACGATTATATAAGTTCAGATAATAGTGAAGTTATAGCTTTACAAGATATTGCAAATATTTCTGAAGAAGAATATTCTAATCAAATAGAATCATCATCAGTACAAGAAAAAAAAAAATATGCTGGGGGAAAAAAAGATGATAAAGTATGAAATGATATTATTAAAGACGATAAATTAGGGCAGAGATTTTATAATGCGAAATATAAGTAGTACATTACAAGTTGGTTAAGAGGACGTTCATATGAAATGAAAGCTCATTTAGCTAGAAATTGTGATAATGCATCTGATAATATAAAAATAAATGGTAAGACTTTTTAGCAGAAGGAACTTCAAGACCAATAGCTTAAGCTAAAAGTGTAAAGCAATCAAATATTACTACACATTATTAACAAATTATGCCTATTTCTGATACTAAGGCTAATGAACTTGATCAAGCAATTCTTAAGGTATGGGTGTGTTGCGGGTTTCTTTTTTGGGGTGCAGGTCAAAATCTCAACAAACAGAATCCCGACAGGTCATAATCCCGACAAAAAAATCCTGACAGTCGAAAATCCCGACAATTAAAAATCCTG